CCTATCCAAACATGCAACTTATCTTTTTCCCCCTTCAAGGACTTAAATTCCCTTCTTCACTAAATGGTTACTTTTGGGAATCAAAATCTACTGTATTTCAAGTTAAACTCGGAGGATTTTGCACAACTATAGCATGATTTTAAATTCATATTGGCATTCATTTTTCTGTATTTTCCTTTATGATTCCTAAATAAGYTTTCAGAACCATAATATTTAGRGAGAGATTAAAAGAGTTTTATATCATTCTGTGAAATTCTAATAAATCTTCAGTTTATCGGGGTTTATCTCTTAGCTCAGTGTCACACAATCTACCAGATAAAAGTATAGACAAAAAGTATTTCAAATACAAAACCCTTAGCTCTGTGTCATAAATAAATTTGGGTAAAACCGCAAGCCTTCCACTGAGTCATCTCGGCAAAGATGACCCATCTTCTCTGCAAGCAGTAACCTAGGAATAAAAAGAAGAAAACTTTAATTACCTGTCCATTCAGAAACACAAACATAAACTATAAAGAACGGCAAAGGCCTAACTTACCTTTCTTTGGCCAGGAGGACAGACATTCCCACGAGCTTGGCAAACTCTTCTGATGTTAGGGATCCTTTTTCTGAAACCTATCAAAACCACAGAACAGATTAAAAAAAAAAAAAGTTATTAGTTTAGTACACCTCTAAAAAAAAGTTATTAGTTATTAGTTATTAGTTTAGTACAGTTATATATTCTGCCTCTGTACTAACCTTAGGCAGAATATATAACTGTATATACAGGAAATAATGTTCTGATTTTTCTAATAAAATCCAAAGAATGTTCACTTAAAATTAAATCTTAATAAGTGCTTAAATATATAAAAGTTATGGACCCAGAACAAATAGAGCAGAAGCTAAAATAGCAACATGAAGCCCTTATAACATAACAGAGCCAAACACTATACTAAAGCCTAGAAAGAGTTACTGGATATTCTGAAAGGAGCACATAACAAATTTTAGTCAAGTTAGTACTATATGCTTTAGTAAAGGATCCATATATATAGGTTTAGTTTAAAATGTGTGGCAGAATATCTATAGTCTTGGGGTTTTCATATAGCTTGAACTGAAACATACAATAATTATGAATTATTAAATTACACAGGTTCATCTTAAAGGCTTAACAACAATAGCATTTCAGGTATACTAATGGGTAATTTTGGCAGTTTGGCCAGTTAAAATCCATCTAAACTGTATTCGCTCTTCAAATTTGTTGAAGCACTTATTTCACAAAACAAATTCTAATGTTTTATAATGCTGTTTATGTAGGTGTTAACTTAAATAAAGTTTAATTTTGTGTAACATTCTAATTAAGAAAGTTAGAACTTCAGTAGAAAAGCCAGAACTTCACTAATTCTAACTYTCCTTACTTCCAAGATTTTAAGAGGGCCAATAAGCTTCCAAAAGCTTTTAATGAATGACTTTGATTACTATGTATTCATTGTGTATAATAAATCATTGAGTGTGAATGTTAATTTTTTAATAAAGTTAAATTCAAAAGAAAATCTTGTTCTCAGATCAGTAAGCATTTGGGTCTTCATGGTGAGTTTTAATCAATGGAGGAAACTGGTTTCACATACTGTCTCCAGGGCCGCGGCTACCATTTCCTCTTCCTTGTGGGACTGAAGCTCAATTACCATGACACCACTGTCAAAAACCCGGAGTCTGAAAACCAGATATGTGAGAACAGAGTCAAGAATCATCTGGGATATTCAACTAGTAAGAAGAAGCACACACTTTTTATTTTCTTTTATGCCCAGGAATGAGGACAACGATAATCACACAACATTTAAAATATAATGAATGACCACAAGTAACTATGACAGAACTAAARTGCTCCTGAATTAACAGGTAATAAGATTACTACATTATTACTAGAATCTACATGCTAAATAAAATATGTCTGACTACCTTTCTTTTAACTCCACAGCTGAACACCTRAACTTCTKAATTTCCAGAACRTCAAACACAAACCATCTAAAGGAAAGAGCTGGTTATCCAGAGTTCCTAGGAGGAGCTCACAGTCTTATCTTCTTCCCTCAAATCAACAAGAATCTRGGAATCCCATTAGGACACACCCAGTATGATAGGATGAAAACCAGGATGACAGAAGATGCTTGTGGTGCCAGGTGAACTCTAGTCACATATAAGTTCAAGAGGACAACATTTTGCAGCATGGTAAACTTGGTTGAGCTTTTGGTTCTTTCCTGGGCAGAATCATGGTTACAGATGGCAAACTTCTGTGAAAGTTCCTTTACCTGAGAGGTAATTTCAGTGCTTCTAGCATCTTGCATGCATTCACTAAATCTTCTGGTGAGAGCAACTAATGGGGAAAAGAAATCCAGTTTACACTGCAAGTCAATAAGTGTAATGCTATATAATTGTAATGATACTAAAACATAATAGGAAATTTAAAAATTAGCATTTATCAAGAAAATTATGTGGTTTAATCATTACAAAGCAAAAGGAACTAACAAATGAGCCAAATGCTTCAATTCATTAAAGCAGTGCCTTCCAAAAGAAATAGTATATATAACTTTAAAATTGTAGTAGCAACATGAAAAGTAAAGAAAAAAAAAAAAAAAAGAAATGGTATAGTAGCTGGGAATATAGCTTAGGAGTGCCCAAGGTCCTGAGTTCAATCCCCAGCATTGAAAAAAACCTTTTTTTGAGATGCTGACATTTAACATTTCTTTATTTTGTACTACTCTTTTAACTCTAGTATGTTACAGGCTCACAATCATCACCTGTAGCTGGCTAGTGGCACCGTTTTGGCTAGTGCAGCTTTAACAGATCACAACCGTTGCAGKGACAAGCACAGCTCTGAATCATACAGTATGGCTCCAGAGGCAGCCCCCTGAGGCCTGGCTGCAAATCCCTGACAAACCACTGTCTCCAGGTGTGGCCTTGGCCAAGTTATTTAATGTAAGCCTCAATTTCCTCATCCCTAAATTATCCCTAGGATGGGGACAGTAAAGGAGCTACCTCACCGAGTGAGTGGGAGGATAAATGAGGCAACACATACAGAGGGCCTTGGCAGGTAGTGAGCACTTGCTGAGGCCACTTATGATGACTGCTCACACACGCAACGGAGGCTTAGCTCTGGGCTGGGGTGAGGGCTGCAAAGACATGTGTGAGAATCATCTGCATAGAGGTGATTGTGTTTGGCTGCTGGGACACAAAGGGAACTTGGACAGGACCTTGGAGGCCAAGGATGTGTGGGTGTGACAGGGCAGACAGAGGAGGAAGGTGGCTTTCCCTCTGCACTCTCTAAGGAGCAATCTGTATCTAACTGTTTTCCCCCCCACACTTTTATTTATTTATTTATTTTTAATTAATTAATTTTTTTAAATGACATAACAAACCCCCCAAAATTGCATATCCTTATGTGATACCATGTAATTTTTGGTATGTGTATGCACTGCATAATGTTTAAATCAAGTTAAACATGTTTATCTCCTCAGATATTTATTAATTCTCTGTGGAGAAAACTTTCAAAATCCTTTCTGCTAGGTTCTTTAAACAGACCATACTTATGTCTATAGTTAATATGCGAATAGTACCCCAGAGTTGTTTCCTCCTATCTAACTGTAACTTAGGAACAAATTAACTATTGCAGAGAAAGAGGTTCCTGCACAACCTCATTCTTCACAACAAAAATGCAGAATATTAGAGATGAAACATATCATTCACTCCAAACCCTTATCTTAAGGGTAAGTTGGATCCCAGAGAAGTTGTGAAGCTACTCAAGGTCACTCAGCAATCACTGGCAAACCCAGATACAAAATCTACTCCTAGATCCCAGCATAGTATTATTTTCACCATACTACACTATTTCTCAAAATAGCTTAGATATTCACAACCCTTCCTCAAATTGTATTCACTCTAGGGGAATTTGTATTATATCAAGAAAGTCTATATTTGGCTAAGAGAGTATCTAAATATTCTGTACTTACTTCCATTCCTCGAGCCCGGTTTACTAAACAGTACACCTCTGTGAGTGACATTATTCCGCCTCGTTCCTATTAAGATGAGATTTAAAAAAAAAAAAGTATTACAATTAGCACCAGTTAGCATTTCTTAGCAGAAATCATGAATTGGAGTGAAATTACAAATCAGGAAAAATTCTTAAGAAGTTTTAAAAAACTAGACTTATACACAGGAGAGCCTATTCAGGTATCAAGAGGCATTTCACCTTCAGTATTTGGACTTTAATGTTGTTATTACTGTTTTAGCATTTACTTACTTGAAAGGAGAGGCACATGTAAGTACATTTACATGTGTAAAGTCATTCCACCTATCCCTATCATGTCACTTCATAATCCTTGAAGATTTCATGTCAAATATTTTTGCAAAAAATCTGTAATGTGATCACTATGTGAAGCTATTTTTTAAAAAACTTTGTGCCAGTGTTACTTTAAAATAAGTTATTACTAAACTGTTTTTAGTATAAGATTAGGATGCACAGAATACTCATGAATATATACTGGTGCAGTGGCAATGATTATTAAGTGAAATAAAGAAATAAATAGGAAACATAGTATTAAATAAGAATACTGTCATTTTGCAGCCCCTAATGAAATGACAGACCAAATAATGACTGTCAGTGGCTGCTGACATGACAAAAAGTCAACCTGTGCCTCCTGAAGTATATAGCACCCTCTATGAAATATTCTTTCCAGAAAAAAAAAGCTCTATTTATAACAGTTAATAGRGAATATGTAAAATGGAAGCCTTATTAAAACTACACAGTCAGCCAAGCTATGAGACATTCTGGACTAAACTACCAATTTTTCAACGAATACATTTTAGGAGTGGAAGGCAGGGAGAGAGAGAGGGCAATGAAAAACCCATGGACTTAAAGAGAATGAACCAAAACTTGAGAGACAAATCAATTAATTATAATGTATTCTGATTTGAAAAAACAAACTATAAGAGAAAATGTAAACACTAACTAGATATTTGATATTAAGGATCAATAGGTGTGAAATGGGATTTTAGTTACATTTAAAGATGTCTATCATTACAGTTACTGAAATATTTACAGATAAAATGATGTGATATTAGGATCTGCTTTAAATAACTTTGGAAGTTGGTTTACAGATGAAGCTGGGTGATGGGCACATAGGGGATTCATTATATTACTGATTTTGGCATATGTTTGAAATACTTCTTGATACACGGGCCTTAATAAAGTTTTGGTCACCTGAATATTGTTACACTAGATGAATCTGCATTACAGAATTATTAATAGTATAATATACATTATGGACTAGATAAACAGAAACATCTATAGAAAAATTAATACATTTTTAAATTAGAAAAGCATATTAAATAGATTTATAGTTATAGATATCTGAAATGCAAATTGAAAGCAATTTAGAGTATTATAAAGACTCATTAATAAGTACACTAGACTAATTTAATATTCCTGAAAAAAAAATAGTATGTTGATTGATAGTAACCACATCATGAAAGGAGTTAGGCTCTTGTTAAGCTTTGTGATATCATGGAAATAATTTAACATAGTTTTTTTTTTTTATTGGTTGTTCAAAACATTACAAAGCTCATGATATATCATCTTTCATACATTTGACTCAATTGGGTTATAAACTCCCATTTTTACCCCAAATACAAATTGCAGAATCACATCGGTTACACACTCACATTTTTACATAATGGCATATTAGTGACTGTTGTATTCTGCTACCTTTCCTATCCCCTACTATCCCCCTTAACATAGTTTTTAAAGTATACTTAGGTTTGGTTTTACCTCTAAAGGCACCTGCAATATTCCAACCAGCTGTTTGGCCAGCTGCATGTGGTACTGTGTTCCTGAGCCGTAGGTTTCTCTGGTAACTGGGTTAGCTATTCCCATGCTTAGCAAGTAGGATTTAAACCTGATGGTCTATAATGAGAGGAGAAAATGCATGAGAAGACAATGTAGAACTCTTTTCTCCACCCCAACATTTGAAATCCTTCCATCAGAAATTCAATTCTGCTCAATTTTCTCTATATACCTATTTCTGCACTATGTTTCTATGCCATGAACTAAAAGGCAGTGGATTTCTAGTAGTTCCTTGCAGAAATCTGAATCATTCTCCTTCCTTCTATGTTTATCTCTCATCCTGTTTATATCACAAGTTTGGTGTGAGAGAGAATTTATATAATGACAATATATTTAATATCAACCAAATGATACAAGTGAAAATTGGGGGAAAATAGGTGTTACCAGATTGTAGATAAATTTAATGAAACAGACATCAAATTTAGGGGTGTATGAAATAGCCACTCCTTACATCTTTCATTATGTTTTCTATACTTTAAGAAAAGGCATTGGAACAAACTTGAATCCTACTAGAGTTAACAAAATTTTTATGGTCCACTTTTTCTTTAGCACTTTCACATACCCTCAAGTTCTAAAGGAAATGAAATGTTACTTTAAAAAGTAAACTGGGAATCTGAGGATTGTAACTCAGTGGTAAAATGACCTTGGGTTCAATCCTCAGGAGAAAGGAAGGAAGGAAAGGGAAGGGAGGAAGAGAGACTGCAAGCAAGCAAACTGGAAAGCCACAAAGACATGGGTGTATTATTGGTGCCATGTGGTTTCTAAGACCTTAAAGGGCATCTTTACCTCATCTTCTGTGATGTCACCCTGCTTCTCTTTAATTTTATTAGCAATTGATTTTGATAACTCCACCATTTCCTTAGCCTGTCAAAAGAAAAGACTAAAAAGAAACAATGTCCCCAAAGTATCTTCTAACAAAACATATTTTCAAAATTGCAGCATAGCTGGTATGAATTTTGGAGGTATAAATGACATATACCTTGATCATTAGCTTGCTGAGGTCTTCAAAGGCCTGAAATGAGAAATGTAATTTTTACTGGAATCCATCTAAAGAATGAAAATGAATGAAACATCCTCTATTTTCTTCCCTATAATACAAATTTATGAAATTTCCTTAGAAATATCAATTGTTAATAAAATAATTATATAWGTAATACATCTACCTTATCTTATAACATCCACTCTACCTAAGAAACCATACATTTTTCAAAATAAAGTGCAACAAAAACTTTTCAGATTTTCAAAAATAATATAATTATTGATTAAACAAACAAAAGGAAACATAAATTATAGTCTAAAATATTATTTACTATTACTTGACACAAATCAGATAATCTGTCACTGGTTTTCCTGATAGGAGGTCAAGAATCAAGGGCCTTGTAAAGCTTTCCTGGTTGAAAATGGCATTGAACAGCTACATGAATACCCTTTTGGGCTCAGGTATTTTGGCTGCAATAATAGGTATGATTTAACTGAAGCAGCCTCAGCCTGCCATTACTAAATGTTTATACTTGTAGCTTTGGATATGGTGGATATCACAAAAAGTATTCCAAAGCCACCAAATGTATCTGAATAAAATCTACCAGTTGTTTCATTTACTACAGCAAAAATACCCTTCAAACTTCATCAAACATGTTTCCAATAAATTATTTCAAGTTACTGAAAATATCCTGCCAGTGCAGAATTTATCTAATTGACGTGTACAGATGTTATCTTTTTTAAAAGCAATCAAGCAACTTGTAATTAATTGAAAAATTGGTACAGAGTGACTGGATATATATAATAGTGGCTCTGATCAGCTTATGCCCATCTGCAGAAAAGTATCCTCCATCTGCAAAAGAATTTTGCTAAAAGAATAGAGTGTTGTATAAGATTCTGATGGCCAGCACCAAGGTTAATACTGAAAACAAAGGGTAATGTGCACACACCTAACAGGAATTTCCTCAGATAAACAAAAGGCTTAAACACTGAATTCTTATCAGCAACAGCCAGCAAATGCAGGAAACCTTCTGTGGGAAGCTCTGGGCACTAGCTCTGAAGCTAAGTCAATCTAACATTTAAATGGGGGCAAATCACACACCAACTGAGTTTTCAACAATAAAGCAGGCATTTTACACACTTAGATTTTTAAGTATATAAAATGTTAATAAATTTCTTATACTTGTGTAAAGGAAACTAATAGCATAAAAATCTGAATTGAAATCACTTTATTGTATTACATTTTCATAGAAAAAATATACTAAAATGGTGAGACCACACGGAGTACRTACAATTGCCTCTACTGTTTATAAATGATCAATAAAAAATATTTTAGTTTCTTATAAGAGTTTTTAAAAAATATTTTAATATAAAACATAAATAAAAGCTTTTTTACTTCTATTTCTATTATTATTCTGAAATTTTGAATTACCAACTATYAAAAACAAGGGATGATAAAGCCATTATAATACACAGTAAAGCAAGATGAATGCACATACCCAATTCTATTACTTTGTCGGTTTACCAAACTTTCTTTCCGTCTACTGTACCTATAACCAAATTTCTGCTCCAATTTTGAGAAAAACTGTATCTATTTAAAAACAATGGGTACCCTCTTAAGCTGACTTATAGCTCCTTCTTATTGGCTTTTAGTCATTACCTTAGTTATTAGTTTCAGTAACTCMATATATTCTTGAATTTTCAGTATCAATATCCTTGATTCTGCACCTTTGAGTAGTATTCCATTCCCTCAACCTGGATTCCTCTATTCCCTGCAGCTCACTGTTAGCACTTCCTTGTCTTTTAGGACTTTAACCCTATATTCCTGCTATTAACAAGCCTTCCTTGACCTCAAGGGAAATTAGAAGTCAACTGGTGTCCCTGCTGCAGCCTGTTTTCTCTGCACAAGGCCTCTCTCACTATCGCTGTTTGTCTGGCCCTTGGCCCATGCCTGGAGCACCACCACAGTGCCGACAGCAGAGCAGAGAGCAAGAACAATCTGCTAAACCAACCTATGGTCTGCATGACAAGGCACAATGCTTGTGGAGAATCCTTTGAGCTTGTGACTCCATGAAAATTAGACTGAACTGGAATAACTTATGCATAAATTAAGAAAAACTTGAGGGGCTGGGACTTAGCTCCRTGGCAGAGCATTCGCCTAGCATGTGTGGGGCACTGGGTTTGAGCCTCAGCACCACATAAAAAAATAAAATAAAGGTATTTGTGTCCACCTACAACTAAAAAACAAATATTTTAAAAAAAGAAAAAACTTTATTTTGAGCATAACACCAAGTGAGCATGGCAGAAAAAAGAATATTAATAATGCAAAGTAGTTCACTGTTCCATGCCATCTCCTTACGTATTAACACAGAAGATGACAGTGAGTCTGACAGAAGAGCATCGTACCAGAGAACAGTGATACTCTGAGGCCCTGTGGCACTGTGCCCTTGCCTACGAGGCAGGAGACCATGGCACTCATCCCCCTTGCTCCARATCTAGCCACTTACTCTCATTTCTTCTCTGAATAATAAAAACTCTTCTAATGTTAAATGTTAAACGTCAGAATTTTATGGGAATAGAGGATTCTGAAGAGATTTAAGCTGGGGCAGCATAGTTAGTGAATCTCTCTAAATCCCAACATAAAGGCAGACAGGCAACTACATCTTAAAATCAGAGACCACCAGGCATAGTGGCACATGCCTATAATCCTACTGACATAGAAGGCTGAGGCAGAAAGATGGCAAGTTCAAGGCCAGCCTCAGCAACTTAGCAAGACTGTCTCAAAATAAAATAAAAAGAGCTGGGATAAAGCTCAGTGGTAGAGCACCTGTGGGTTCAATCCCTAGTATCACAAAACAAACAAACAAAACCAAGAGCCCACAGGCAATATATACTACAAAGCTAAATGCCACAATATTGGCATAACCCCCAGAGGAACATGCAGGTAATAAAGAGTGACAAGATCTGCATGATGTTGGCACTAGGCAGGAAAGAGAAAAGGGAAGCACATAAAAATAAATAAAAGAAAGGTATTGTGTTAGTCTATAATAAATTAATAAAAGCTGATATGAGCTATGAAAGGACAATAAATCAGAAATTAGATGAAGAGGTTCAGGAAAGGATTAAACATGAAAAATCATTTTGAAATAAAGCCTACCACTAAACAACACACAAGAATGAATAAAAACAACAGATAACAATTTAAGAGACATGTCTAAAAAAGGAAAATTTTCTAAATCAAAGTAAAATAAAGAAAGAGATAAAAGGCATTTGAAAGATAATAAAAAACAGTTCAAAATGGCAGTGACATTGCAATACAGAGCTAATAGAGTTTCAGAAGGGAAAAACATCCGGGCAATCTTTAAAATTAAACAGAAAAACTTCCTGAAATTAAAAAAGTTTCTGAAACTACATACTGAAAAAGCACATTGTATACCTTAGAATAATAATCCAGAATAGCAGTCACATTTAATTATTGGGTTTAATAATAAGGAAAAAATAAATCTTTTAGGAAATTTAGTCTATTTAGGAAAAATAATAAATGACTCCCTTTTAAATTTTTTTTAGTTGTTGATGGACCTTTATTTTATTCATTTATTTATATGCAGTACTCAGAATTGAACCCAGTGCCTCACACATGTGAGGCAAGCATTCTACCACTGAGCCACAACCCGACACAGAAATGACTCTTAAAGGAAAAAAAATTAATTATCCTCACTCTTCRTTTTTTTAATTTTTAAGGTGTTAATGGATCTTTATTTTATTCATTTATTTATATGTGGTGCTGAGAATCGAACCTAATGCCTTGCACATGCTAGGCAAGCATTCTACCCACTAAGCCACAACCCCAGCCCCATCCTCACTCTTTGACAGTAACACTTATGCCAGACAAAAAAGGTGAAAGGAATATACTAAAGGCACTAAAGGAAAAGAAAACGTGGTCAAGGATTTTAAATTGAGCAAAAGTGGCTGTCAAGTGTAAGGAACACAGGCATACCAGATACAAGGAATTCTGTGCCCACGAGCACCTCCTGTAAAATCTACTAGAAAATGATCTGGGATAACCAAAATGACCAGTGGTAGTTGTCATAAGGACTGTCGGTATTACACCTCCTGTAAAATCTACTAGAAAATGATCTGGGATAACCAAAATGACCAGTGGTAGTTGTCATAAGGACTGTCGGTATTAAATATTCTCCTGAAAGTGAGACTAAATGGGAGCGGGGGATGAGGGAGAAGGATGTGTGCAGGGGCTGAATGCTTAGATGATATGGATGGAGCACCCCTATTTTTAATGGAAAAAGAATGGGGAGAACACATACAAAAATATTATTTTTTGCTATTTTAGTAATTATTTGGCAGTGTTGCCCTGAATTTGAATTGAAAGAACTGGTACAATCTCATGAGGCTCTTCATAAACAACAAAATCTTAGCTCTGACTATTGAAAAGGCTGAAAAATAAATATCAACTCAATAGCTGTGGACACAGATTGTGATTTTCAAATATTATTTATCATTAAAAATAAAATAAAATAAACAGTTTCTCAGTTAAATGTTGATTTGAGATCTACAGCAGGAAATGTATAAGATGGCCCTGGAACTTCTGTTATATCATATATCAAGGAAACTACCAAAGTCCACCAGGTCATGTCAAAAGCACTCAGGAGCCAACCTGAAGAGGCTCCTACTTGCCAAAGATAGAATGATCTCAGCTTCAAACAGAATAAATAATTGCCACTGAGTGAACCCCATCAATACATTAAAATTCATGGTGACATTTAAAAAAAAATCTACTCAGCTTCAAAGGATGATAAGGAACTAACTTATTCTGTTGATAATAAAGGAAAAAAAACAATTATCTTGCCTTTCCTTTATGAACTATGTCAGTGGAAAACCAAATTGCAGTTGAAGAGAAGTAGCTCTCTAAATAAAAAATATTCTAACTAACAGGTATGAAAAATAAACAGAATACCACCATTTGTAATCATCCATGAACTAAGAAATATTGAACCCTAATAGCTACTAATATAACAACAACAAAAAAATTAAGAYGAAAGAACACAGTATCGCCTCTCATCTTGCCAAAGACTGAACATGAGTGTTGGATTTACCTGCTCATTTGCAGGAAATAAAAATACAATTTGCATGGCTAAAGAACACCCAAAACTTTATCATAAATAAGTATTCAGCAAAACTATACCATGGGCATTTAATAGATCAAATGTTCTAATTCCTCAACAATAATATATATTTTCATTTAGCAATCCCAGAATAGGTATTCAAAAATTATTTGCTTTGGGTTAATGCAATGGAGCAACCAATCATGGACTGAAATCTCCAAAACTGTAAGCCAAAATAAACCTTTCTTCTTGTAAATTGATTGCTTCAGGTATCTTGTTAGTATAACACAAAGCTGACTAACAAGATCATGATGTGTTTAGATATATTAATTACAGAATCTAATCATAACTGGCTTTCTTAACCAGAGTTCTTCCCTTTACTTGAATTTCCTCTTTTATGATGAGGTTTTAAAGCATCATAATATATATAGACAGTATTATCTCTGAGTATGAGTGATAGGCTGGTTGGAGGCATTCTTATTGTCTAGTATCTCATCTTAATTGGTCATCAGTATAAAACTGTGTGGTGGCTAGCCGGGAACAGTGGCCATAGAACAGCATTTTTCTCTCAACTAAGTTAATCAAACTTCCAAAATAATTATACTGAGAACCTTGAACTCATTAGGAGTATCCTCTAATCAATTACATCTTTAAAATTTGCATATAACATTCTATGATGTTCTCTAACAGAAAACAAAATTGGGTTTCTTTTTTATTTTTAGAAAAAGCTTTTAAAATGTGTTTAGGTTAACTTAATGCCAGCCTGAGGTAAACCCATTACAGGAAAGAGGAAACTGCAGAGTTGCATGCAATTTAAATATTATTCATATTACAAAATGGAATTAGTCACAGCTGTATCCAAAAGAATAAACACAAATAGCTGAAAAAGATGACTGACTGGAACTTATTAAGAGTTACCTCAGAAATATTTTTGTCAGTTTCTTTTCTTTTTTCTTCCAGTTTCCTTTCAATACCTACAATTCCTACAGCTCTTACTCTTCCTGGCTGGAAAAAAAAAGAAAATACAGAACATAAAACATACTAAATGGGAAGGAAACAAAATCTTTTGTGAACCACATTGTGTTTTCAATGGCGGGAAAGGACCACAAAGAACCAAAGAAAAACAACATACAATTACATCTAGCTTCCTTTCAAAACATTTTTCTGTTTCTGACTGTACATAATGTCTTTGAATCGGTAAAGAAAAAGCAAATATACAAAAAATGACCATTTTATTCTGTATTTAAATAAAAATTAAATTTCCTATTCATGTTTGTTTTTTGGCAAGCTAAGTCAAATGTTTAAAAGGGTCTCAAATGTATAAAAAATTATAGCTGATTTTTTTGATACTTGACAGTTATACAAACTACTTCATACATTTGAGAGCCTGTTCATAGTTTGTGATTTAGACTAAATGCTATAAAAATTAATTTTTTTACCCAAATAACACTATTTTGTTTTTGGCAAGTTCTATGGTTACAGAGTATTTTTTTTTTTTTTTCAATCCTGAGGATTGGATCCAGGGCCTTGCACATGCTAGGTAAGCATTCTACCATTGAGCTACATTCCCAGCCTTTTTAAAAATTTTTGTTTTGAGACAGGATCTCGATAAGTTGCCCGGGCTGGACAATTTTAATGAAGATGCAAGAACAGAGTTGAAAATACTGGATTAATATATAGTTTTAAAAATACCTGGGGTCCTCTATTTGTTTGTATTGACTGAGACACTGGCATGTTCTCCCATCTTCTTTGTGTCATTTCCTCTGATAAACGCCTGTAAAACTGTTATGTACAGACATATACGTTAAGTGAGTCAGTAAAGTTGTGGCATCCTTGGACAAATTAGTATAAAAGTCTGTTGTTCAGCCTTGTACAACAAGCCTAGAATTCTCAGAGACATCAAAGGAAATCAAAGGAAGTTCTTTTCTTGGCTCAACTTCAGAAAA